CCTTCATATGTGCAGTCTCACATTGTTCACAAGTGGCTGATAGGAGGAAGCAGTCCTGGGATCTGGGATGAGAAAGAACATGTTTCAGTTCAGTTCTCACAACGACTGGAATCAGCGCCTGTAAAATGAAATGCAATATAATGTTGAAGCTTTCATCTGTCTGTGCTGCTACCACTTGATCAGGTCACTATTGAAACATAAACAATACTCATTAAAAAGAAAAAGATTACTTCCACACCAAACTGCATTTCCATCAAGTCACTCAGATGGTGAAATCTAGTGGAAAATCTACTGAAAAAATATTGCCAGAATAAGACAATAAGTGTCTAGAGCAGACTTATCCAGCAGCTGCCACATTTTTGCTGTTGCCATTTTTAGTGGCATTTTCAGAAGCACCAGGCAGGAATTTTGTGGGATTTTCAGAATCAGATTGAAGTCTAATGAATGGGTGGATGGATTCAAAGGGCAATTAAAATCAGGAGCGGTGTGCAATGACCATCAACAGAGTCAAGGGGGCCTTCACCTTGGCTCACACTTGGGGCTCACTACACTACAATCAGTCAGACTGACCACATCCGGTAAAAACAGCTGACACGTCCCTTACACCTGTGATAATGGAGGTCGTCTGCCACTAAACAGGTAAACAGTACATGTTTCTTTACAGGTCTCATTAACTGTGAATACATCTTCACTCTTAATGTATTGTATTTAATTATGATTGCCTGATTATTTCTATCTTCTTTCGTTAAGTACTATTAGTTGCTTTGTGTATGAACTGTGCTATAGAAATAAACTTGCCTTGAATTGCCATGAGACCACCTCCAATTTAAACAGTCCTCTAAATTAAAACCATTGAAACCAAATTTCAGCAAGGAACAATTTTAGCTTGTGAGCGAATTGCAGCAGTTGTGAAGATGAGAAAAAATGCCCCAAAGGAAATCAGTCTGTCACCATAACACTTGTGTAAAGTGCCAAAGCAACAATTTTCTCTGCTCTAAATGAAAATGTCAACATAAATAGATGTCAGTGTCGGTGTTTCAGTGCAGTGTAAAATGTACAATTCTGCATAATGTATGCTTCGGCTATGTGACTGACAGCCTTTTGTTAAATAGATAAGGATTACATAATTAATACAGCTTTGTGAGTCACTGCATATTCTTAAATCCTGGATAAGGCAGTGCTGAAGACATCTAATCAAGAATCGTTTCCCAAATGTTCTCTGTAGAATGATGATTGCACTGTTTTATAAAACTCTTAATGCATTTGGCCGTGCTGTGTTCTTATGGAGACAAGCCCAATATCTGTCCAAGGACTAGATGAAAAATAGTCTTTTGCCTGAGTCTGATATTCTTGGATTAATGTTCACTGTATGTGTCACCTATAGCAAACATACATAAGTATCAAATAAGCACATTTGTTATTTATGGATTTGTTTCAATAATTTGTTTGTGGTATGAAGTCAATTAACAAAGCATCCAAACCTATCAACCACATTTTCCTCAGTCATCTCCAGTCATATCCTGCATGTTTAATCTCTACAAAGCAGAACACTGATAATGCTCTGTAAGTCCTTTTCAACGTCTCTCCTTTCCTCATTCTGTGTATTGAACACACAAGCTCCTTTTCACCTCTCTTTGTGAAACTGAATTTTCGATCTTGGAAATGATTTTCTTTTCTTGTGAAGAGCAAGTCACCTTGGTGTGGAGGTCTTAAGTAAGTAGCTAAGTAATTAAGTAAGTAATGTTTATTTATAAAGCGCATTTTACAGACCAAGGTCACCCAAAGCACTTTACAATGTTCAGAGTTCAGATATTGTTCCAATCATTCCACACACGGTGATGACGGAAGCGAGTCGCCGAACACACTGGAGCATCAAAGCCCCCAATCAACACCATCCATTCACTCTCTCATTTTACATTCATACCTATTGCGATTAACTACATGCGAGGAATGCAGTCTCTCACCCATGCTGCAGCTGTGAACTGGAGTCATAATCCTCCTCCATCCAGGTAAATTAGTAAAAGAAAAATACCACAACACAAGCATAACCATGCCTCTACATAATGACAGGATGATTAGTTAGTGTTAGAAAACAGTCTCCAGCAGGGGGCTGACAGTCTGAATGGGGGTCACCCGTACATATGGCCTTTAGGTTTTTTTTCCTCCACGTTTAATTTGGAATGCTCTGTTCCATTTACATTACAAACTATTTTATTGAGCTAATATAAAAAAGCTTCATATTTAACATAATATCATCCATGGCGTGAATGGCATTGGAAATACTAAATACTAAAGGTGGAAAATACTAAATGCTAAATTATTTTTGGTTCTAAACATGAGAAAACAAGATAAGAAAATAAGAGCACCCACCAATTCCTCATGTGTCTCTGTCTCTGAGCTTTTGTTCTTGTTCTTCAGACCAGAGCCAATGCCACCACAGAGCTCAGTCTAAGCTACTGTTACATCAAGGATGCCTTTTTATCCTTTTGAGAATGGGCCAGTTTGAAGGCCTTTTTGCATAAATCCAATTCAAATCTTTTCTCAACTGCTTGGTGCAGTTGTGCAATCGACTGCAATGCTTCTCGTGACAGACACTAGCACCGTTTTCTATTCACACACAATTCCATGGGAATGTGTGTGATATGATACAAGTAGGCCTATAGACAGAAGAGAACATATAGCAATCTTAATGTATGAACACATTTAGCCAATATACGACACAGGGTTTTGGGATATTCTGGCCCGTTTCTGCACAGTGAAATACAAGAAAGTGCAACTGCTAATGAAACAGTATTAATACCATCTAGCCATTGGTTAGTGAGCCTAAACACACCTTCAAACCTTTGAAAAGTCAATGTACTGGTTTCCCCACGCTTTATGGGGACTTCTGGAAAAATGAGTTAACCTGTTTACAGGGGACACCATTTGCATACATTTGCATACTTCACACTGACGTATATTTTACTAGTGGGGACATACTTTTATTTAATTTGATTATTTATTTAAATGGCAAATGTAGTAAATTCTCTAACATATTGCACTTGGGATTAGATGAAACCTTATTACAAAGATGGAGTTAAACCACAAAATATAATGTTTCACATCTACTATAGCAGTACCTAGAATCATGCAGAATCCCTGATAGAGTGTGGTTTAATAGCTGTGCAAAGGCAGAAGATCAGGCTCTCCAGAAGGTGTTAAAGACAGCAGGGAAGATTGGGACACAACTACCGGACAGGACAGGACAGGAATATGTCCCATAATCACTGGAAGTTAAGTTTTGGCTCGATCCTTTTAAATTTATATAGTGTCTGGTCTCGTTAGGCTGAAATAACTGCCAAGTTACATGATTTGCCTATTAGGACTTTGCTACTACTCAGTCAACATGTCACATGACCCCACCAAGAAATCAAACTGGTTTGACCTGCATGACACTTTTTTAATGACAAGGTCAGAGAAATTGTTTACATTGCATACAATAAAAATCTCTGCAATGACAATAACATTGTGTATAAACGTACACATGCACAGAACAGAAGGCTCAGTATTTTGTTTGTTTGTATGTACACACGCTCCCTCAATAAGCTTTTGATAGCTTCTATGGGAGACCTGATTCATACACACATAATCTAAAGGAGGAATATAAAGGAGAACTCCCACGAGGCTAGAACTGGGTGGATATTATTCAGAATAAGAAAAAACAAAACTTTGGTTGAACAGTTTTCTTTGGATTTACCATATTATTTATCGTGCATTTTCCTTTTTAAGGCTGTAATCCTGTTGTAGACGTAAAATTTCAAGTTCTGCCAGTTTCTGTTACTGAGAGCTTCAGGTTCAGCTCTTAAACATTTCTCACAGTCTCTCTTCGTTGGTACCGTAACAAGATCGGATGAACTGGATCATTTGCCTCTCTACCGCCCTAACCTCTGCTGCCTGCCAGGGAGCTTTTTTCTGTGGAGCTTTACCTGTAAGGACACAAAAATTACAGGTTTTAGTGAAAGTAAAAAGGAGAAGCTACAGTTCCAAGTCCTGCGTCATTACATATAGTACAAGTGAAATTATGAGGCTGATCAGAGCTGATATAGGCATCTGTCCTTAGTGATTTGATCAGTGTTCAGCTCTGTCCATAAGTTTACAGCTGACATAAACCTACATCTGAAACCCTGAGGTTTCTTCAACTTTTTCCTTGTTAAGAGGGTTTTCTTGGGAGTTTTTCCACAGTCAATGTGAGGGTCTAAGGGCAGAGGATGTTGTTATATGTAAAACCCTTTGAGACAAACTGTTTGGAAAAATGGGCTACACAAATAAAATTGCCTTGCCTACCAGAGATGGAAGAAAGCACGGCAATGTTTTCCATATTCTCAAAGGTCTCCCACATATGAAATAGATTCTTGTTAGGCAAATGAAAATTGTATTTGTACTGAAATACAGTACTTTGACAAATGTACACAGTTACAGTCCATCAGTACTTGGGGCCACCAGACTGAGGGGTGAAAGACTGTAGGAGTCTTTTTTCATTTATCTCCCGTCTCCAAATCAACTGATTTTACTGCAATAATAATAATTTCAAAAATGTATTAAAAAAAATCACCTTTGGAGGAATGTGCCACAGGACCCACTCCAGAAGATGCTCCATGCTTTGCTGTTGGGCGTCTGTGTTGCTTGCCTGTTGAGTTTTCATTCCCCACAGCACCTGCAACAGTTTCCTCTGCTGATGGTTCTATGAAGTATACAGAATATATTTCATTTGTAACTAATATTCTATATCTTGTAAATGATTGAGGTTATATCTACTTCACATCATATTGTTGCATCCTACATTTACATGACAAAAGTTTGTTTCACTTGTGTCAATCAGCACCCCCAGCTTATTGATGGTCAAAGCCTGAGCACCGTCTCTTTTCATCTCTTTTATTAGCAAGTCAGTTGAATGGTGGCTAAGAGTCTTTTTTCATTTATCTCCCGTCTCCAAATCAACTGATTTCACTGCAATAATAATTTTAAAAAATCACCTTTAGAGGAATGTGCCACAGGATTGACTCCAGAAGATGCGCCATGCTTTGCTGTTGGGCGTCTGTGTTGCTTGCCTGTTGAGTTTTCATTCCCCACAGCACCTGCAACAGTTTCCTCATCTGATGGTTCTATGAAGTACATACACAATATATTTGAAATCCGTGGAACATGTGGTAATTTTAGTGCTTATGCTGATCAAAGAGGAACTATGCAAGTCAGGTCACTTTTCCTCTGTTTTGCTAAACCTCCTCCCGGCTATGTGTATTTGTTTTTAACTAAGCTGGCGAAGAATCAATCCATGGAGCGGTGGATAACGTTATAAAATGTACGATGTTATGACGTATATTTGTGTTGCCAAACAGCGAATTATGGGTTACAGTGTGCGTTTGTGTTGCGGTGCGCAGAGATGAGAGCTGGGACACCAGGGCGACGGATGTTGCAAGGTTGGTTTTCAAGTACGAGATGTCAGGTGGAAGGCAGAGAACCTCCATTCTCACTCGTAACAAGTTATGTAGTTAACCATCAGAATTACTCCGGTGCTTTTCAATTAAGGTAAAAATGTAGCATAACCACAGGAAAAATCCTGCTTAGTTCCTTTTTAACAGTTACCAGGCTGCGATTTTATTAGAACACATTTCATAGTAAATAGTAAGACATTTAGAATAAGAATAAGAAAATGTTCTTGCATGAAGCTAAATAAATCCAACAACCTGGCTGCTCAGCAGCTGGTTAGATGTTACATATACTGGTAGCCTTAATCATGGTGCAACACATGGGAAGTTAATGCTACTACATTGAAATATTACATTGAGGATGCTTTACACTCTTAACTTTAGTACCAGTGTATGAAATGTACCTTAAAAACAACTAGAGCTGCAACTAACAATTATTTTGTAATCGATTATTTTTACGATTAATCGAGTAATCGCTTGGCTGTGAATTGTGTAGAAAAAAAATATTTTTTCATCACAAAAAGCTAAAGTGGCAACACTCGAGGACGTATTAATGGCGTAAACTTAAAGTAAATATTTGTAACTCTTTGCTCTTTGTGCTAATTCTGCTCTGATTGGATGAGACAGACAGATATTCATGAAATTATAAAAACAAAGTCGGTTTTAATAAAAAATACTACATTTTCATGACACTTTTGCTCTGTTTGAGTCCATGTGAACCAGAAAACGATTAATCGATTACTAAAATAGTTGTCTATGACTATTTCAATAATCGATTAGTCGTCGATTAATCGATTAGTTGTTTTAGCCCTAAAAACAACCATATTATTATTACATTATATATATTTTTTTTTACATGAAATTACTGAAACCTACCATCAACAGCAAATGAACGATCTCCATCCTGTCTGCATCCCTCTTCCTCATCACTACCCATAATGTTTTCTGCAGGAGACATGACAAGCTTATACATACGGTCAGACAAAAAGAAAAGACGATACATTAAGTAGTGAAAATAAAATATACCGTTTGGATCTATTGTGATTTCGTCTAGGTTCAGAGGCAGGCCTCTCTTTGCTGAACAAGGAGTTCCAAAGCATGGAGCATTTTCGGGGTCAGGAGAATTGGAACTGCTCTGCCTCGCTTTCCTCTGGTGACAATTCTGGAGAAATGTCTGCAGAGCTTTTTTTCGACTTCCGACAATGCCCCGTCCAAATCCTCATGATGATCAGATGTGTCCCTTGACAAAAAAGCAGACAGAGGCATGCTTGACACCTCTCCTTCTCTGCGTCTGTTGAAGAGGATAGTCTGTGTTAAACACACCTTTGCAAGGTCTATCCAGGCCTTTGTAGAGTGCCTTTCAGACAGTGTGATTGTGTATTCTTTTTGCATTTCACAAAGAAACTGGTGCATTCTTTGCACATCCTCAGTAAAGGGCATTAGAGTAGGTGCATTCCACTTTGCTTCAACAATATTCCTTAGTGCTGTTGCAGAAATTAATGCGTTCCACTTCTCATTGTGCACATCTTGGAACTCAGATGCATGCTTTACAAGCTCTTGGTTGTTGGCAATTAGTCCTTGAGCTTTCAAGAGCTTGCTAACTTTTACCAAAGCATTTCCAAGTTTTGTTGCCTGTGATGGAATGGCAAATGTGTTGGTCTCGCTCTCATAGCCGCAAGTACTTTTGACAGCTTTGACCACGTCCATATAATTTGCAGGATTAATGAAATCCTCCATCTTTTTTAATGGGGTATGTTTCCTGGCATTGTCCAGCAGTCGTCCAAGTTGACGCATTTTTTCACGGACGCACTGTTGACTTTTTAATGTAATTCCACATTTATTGAGCAAGTGCTGTCCATATTCAATAATGACATGATCATTCTTAATTATTTCAGTGACAGGATCCAGATTCATGGAACTGATAAGTGCCCACAGCTGCCTGCTGATATGTGAAGGCACAGGCCCAGTGTATGTACATAGAGCCTGAACACGGTTCTTTCCAGGTTTTGTGTTGACTGGTCCAGGCTTGAGTCTACAAACTCGCATATGTCTCCATAGAACATTTCGTGTGAAAAGTCCTTGACAATATGCACAGTGCATGAAATCTCTTCCTTGTGCTTCTTTTGATGGCCGTTTACGTGAGACAAGTTCTCCCTTTCCCGACTCCATTACAGTGACATTATGGGCATAGTTGCCTTTGTTCCGGATATATTCTAGTAGTTTGTTCCTCTCTTTTGACCTTTTTGGAAAGCTGAAAGCTCTTGCCACATCTGCCTTATTTTGGTGTGCATGTTCCAGATGTCTTCCAATTTTGGCATATGGTTTTCTGCAATATAAGCAATACTGTCTCTTGTCATAGATTCTCTTGCCATTTTTATTTTGGTGAGCACTAACTACTATGCTGTCATTGGTGTTGTGACTTGAGCAGGGTTGTTCGTCTACAGTGAGGTCAGAGCAGGGTTCTTCCGCTACAGAGAGGTCAGAGCAGGGTTCTTCCTCTACAGAGAGTTCAGATACAACGAAGCTGGTGTCCAGTTCAGGTGTTGTGGTGTCACATTCATTGGGCATATATGAGCCAGAGTTTCGAGAAGAAAGATGCAGGCGTGTTCTTGGGGTGACACCAATGCTAGCATCACTGTCCTCAGAGTCCGTGCAGGAATCTGGAACATACTCATCTTCACTGACTGATGTGCTGTCATAGAGTTCTGTGTCTTCTAGACATGTGTCTTTCATCTAAGAGATTTTTTTTTAAAAGACAAAAATTAAATAAGGTCATTTAGTAATTTTCTTTAAACTAAACAAAATCATGTACTTTATTAAAGTATTAACATTGCTACAATGTTGATTGGGGCACCCAATTGAGAACTTACTATAATGCTTTTTGTCCTCCTTAGTCTCGGTAAAATAATTTCACTTTCATTACAGCAGTCATGTCGAGTCTGTAAACACAAACAGCTTAAGTCATTCTAAAGAAATTCAACAAAAGAGATAGATGGATGGAGCCAAATTTGACCTGTATTGTACAAAGTATATTGATTGAAAACTAAAAGGAAATTTCAAGGAAATAAACAATGACAATATGAAGACCTTTAGTCAAAACACCAGACGTCAGCGGAGAACAAATCTCCAAATTGTACTGTAATATTTCAGTCAACCTGTGTTTGCTGTCACACATCGTCAACACAACAAGCTTAATGGGGACATTTTCACACACCATGTTTTCATCCTTCATGGGGACAAAGCCTCTCTGCATTCTATTTAACACTAGCAGTAACATCAAAAGTGCACTGTGGGGACATCGTAAATGTGCCAGATTACACTTATTTTTGGGCCAAAGGAAAATATCCAGACAGGTCCACATCCATCTACAAAGTCCCTTTATCTTTTGCCTCATTGAGGCATTAGCCTTAACTGTTAGTAGACCTGATTGACAATGCATTAGCCCCACAATGAGCTCATTTGCTTTATTTAGTGCTAAAACCCAACTTACAGAGGCTGAAAAAGTAAACATCAAGTAATGAGGGTGAACGTACCTGTTGAGGAGTGTCCTGTGGAGAAGGAGCTTCTTCCATCCGTTTCTCAGACATGACAGCAGGATGGGAGCTCTTTGCAGGATGAGTATCAATGGCACACAATGTCATCTGCAATGATTTGTAAGGGAAAAAAAACTATGACAATATGAAAACCTTTAGGTCAATGTAATGTCAACACTGCATAATATTCAAGCAGATAAATACATGTTCTTAAGGATCTCTAAAATTTAATACATGTCAAAACACCAGACGTCAGGGGAGAAGAAATCTCCAAATTGTACTGTAATATTTCAGTCAACCTGTGTTTGCTGTCACACATCGTCAACACAACAAGCTTAACGGGGACATTTTCACACACCATGTTTTCATCCTTCATGGGGACAAAGCATCTCTGCATTCTATTTAACACAAGCGGTAACATCAAAAGTGCACTGTGGGGACATCGTAAATGTGCCAGATTACACTGATTTTTGGGCCAAAGGAAAATATCCAGACAGGTCCACATCCATCTACAAAGTCCCTTTATCTTTTGCCTCATTGAGGCATTAGCCTTAACTGTTAGTAGACCTGATTGACAATGCATTAGCCCCACAATGAGCTCATTTGCTTTATTTAGTGATAAAACCCAACTTACAGAGGCTGAAAAAGTAAACATCAAGTGATGAGGGTGAACGTACCTGTTGAGGAGTGTCCTGTGGAGAAGGAGCTTCTTCCATCCGTTTCTCAGACATGACAGCAGGATGGGAGCTCTTTGCAGGATGAGTAATATTCTGTCAAAAATTTCCAAAATATGTGAAAACACTAATGAAAACACATTCTCACACTGTTAGTCTGAGACATTCTCAAACTCTACACATTTAAATACTGTGCAGTCATCAGACATACTTTTATTCGCCATGGGCAGTCATTGCCTCCGTAGTCATACGTAATTTCTTCACCGTCCTTTATGTCTTTTAGAGCAAAAAGACATAGGTGTGGGCTTCCCTCCACCTCAACTTTTTTCATACGACAATTTGGATGTCTGTGTTCATCATTCACTAGGCGGCCAAATGAACCATCTTCTCTGGATGCATCAATACTTAAAATGGACAAGAGAAAGAGGAAAATAAAACAATTTACTTAAAAATAATGTCATTCCCAGGTCCAGTGCAAAATGTTCTCTTCATTTTGCCATATTTAAACATTCAATGTATTTCCTTTACCTTGCAGTGTCACATTATTAAATGGCAGACATTGATTGTGCAAGCTTATATCAAATTCAACAATTCATACAAAGTATATAAAGAAATATATGTATGTATGTAAATACGGAGATGAAGTGCAATTTTAAATCTTACCACCATGTTTTCCCAATCCACTTGAAGAGAAAGAAAAATGCAGCACATGACGGGTGATAAACTTTTCTCCTCCTCTCGGCTTCAGCATCATCTATCAAATCACCCCTGTATTCAACCACAAAGTCTCCCTTGCAGATGGAACCTACGGCAAACAAACCACGTCCTGCAAGAAAAAAAATAAAGGAAATGTAATCAGATTATCATTCCCAGGTCCAGTGCAAAATGTTCTCTTCATTTTGCCATATTTAAACATTCAATGTATTTCCTTTACCTTGCAGTGTCACATTATTAAATGGCAGACATTGATTGTGCAAGCTTATATCAAATTCAACAATTCATACAAAGTATATAAAGAAATATATGTATGTATGTAAATACGGAGATGAAGTGCAATTTTAAATCTTACCACCATGTTTTCCCAATCCACTTGAAGAGAAAGAAAAATGCAGCACATGACGGGTGATAAACTTTTCTCCTCCTCTCGGCTTCAGCATCATCTATCAAATCACCCCTGTATTCAACCACAAAGTCTCCCTTGCAGATGGAACCTACGGCAAACAAACCACGTCCTGCAAGAAAAAAAATAAAGGAAATGTAATCAGATTATGCCCCCATCTAAAAAAAAAAATTCTACAACCTTTGGTTTGCCATTTCTTTATTATATTCTACCGGTGTATCCTTTTGTTGTAGATTTAATAACGTTCTTTTTTTTAATGCATTTGGCACTACAATACTTTGTTCTGATAAATAATTTTTCAAATTGACTAATTGTCATATTACTAAAGTGATGTTCTGTGTCCATTGCGGCCATCTGTCGGCCCTTTTTGGAATAGTTTGGACATGCCTGATATAAAACCTGCAAGGTGTTCCCCAGGACCAGGGTTGGGAAACACTTGATTTAAGGACTATGTGTCTGTTTATATCTGTGTAAAGCGTCCTTGGGTTTCTTGAAAGGTGCTATATAAATTCAAGTTATTACCATCATCATCATCTTCTAGTCATAAGGCATCATCTTACCTTTTACTGCATCAATGAATTTCACCTCCAGTTTCCATGTTTTGTCAGTCTTTGCACCAACATGATGACAGGCATCATTCAAAGGACTGAGCCTGGGCGGCATGTCAAACTGAAAAGAAATTAAAGGCGCTATACCCGTTTCTGCAATGTTTGAATGTTTAGCACCGCCCCCCAACTCGCTCAATGGCTTCTCATTTCCCCTACGCTCTCATAACACAGAGCCATCTAGCTCAATTTGCGATCTGACATGTACGCTAACATTAGCATTAGCGCAACTTCTTGTAAGCTCAACAACAATCACTGATGAAATGGTACAAAAGCAACGCACTGCTAACACAATATATAAGTAAAAGAATACCGCTAGTTTCGCGTCCTAATTTATTAATTTAAAACCTTAGAATATATTCTAATATTTAATTATAATTTGTTATAGAGCTCCTCAAAGCAGCAGCAGCAATTCTTCCGATCATTTTTTCTTGATAACAGAACTCTCAAACCAATAATGACCGAAGCCCCAATGCAACCTCTTTTTGTAATTCAGGTGTGTAAAATACTGCCATTACTTTGCAAGAACAAGCTATCAGCACCTGTCACTACACACTCGTCTGTGTAGAGAAGCCAACGAAGCTAGCGGAGCTAGCCACGCTCAATAAACAAATACATATCAATCAATCAACACCATTAAACATCAATCGGACAATACAGTATACATGTACATCCTTAACACACATGCACGGATGATTTCAGAATTTGCTGTTAACGTTTCATGACAAAAATACTGTTAATGTGACAAAAAGCGATTGCGAAAAACCCGGAAGTTACCATGAAACAGCTAGCTAGCTTAGCTGTTACCTGCCTAGCACGTCCCGGTGAAACCTTTGGGAGCTAACTATTTTATTTACAGTCATTAAATACATTTCGAATTACAAGGGTTGTCTAATATTTGTTCAATTTTTTTTATTCAATTATTTTGTTCATCATTTTTTATTTTAGAATTATATTCGAATTTTGAAGTTGAAGCCCTGGTGTTAAGCAGCGCTGTAGAGACTAGAGGACGCAGGCTGTTCACTGCTCGTTCTGTGAGCGGAGGAGAAAGAGCGGCCCGCTCAGACTCTACTCAGCACTTTTCACTGCTTGTAATTCATACACAGCTGAATCAATTACCTCAAGTTTTCAATTAAATGATGTATTATGATACAACTTGTATGTAGTAAAAAGCATTTTTATGAACTACTTAGAAAAAAAATCGGGTATAGCTTCTTTAATAAAAAAGGGACATAGCCATGTCTTCAGTTACGGTGAAAATACATCAACTGTATTTTAAACTGTGCTATTCCAACACAATTTCTGTGAAGTCCAGCCTAAATAGAAGATATAAAATGGTGACTTTTGTTAATTAGTGACAAAAAAAAAGGACAAATTTAAGGTGAAATACACAATGAACTCTTCTCAAGCACCGGTCCCTTCACTTAACAGTGTTTTTCAATCTTGGTACAGGGGGGCTACGGGGCCAGCAGTTATTGGATATTAAGTTGATTTACATAAAAATGTACATACAATAAAAGTTAATAATTTAATAGAAATCACATAACTTATGCAGATTAAGTACAAGTAGTTAAATATGCTTGTGTTTGTTATATGATAAACATTTAGTAACGTGCATTTCACAATCTGTAGTGTATTAGCCCGGGAACCTAGTATTATTTGATGGTGTTTGTTGTGTCAGAATTCACACGCACCTCCTATAAGCAATGAGACCCCCATTCCCCCTCCAATAATAATTTTCTGGTGCTGCCGCTGCTCCCTGAGCTCTGCTGCCATGCGGCTCTGAAGCTCACTAGCCACGTGCTCTCTAGCTAGCCACAGTGCAAGTTGAAGCGCACCATGGCGCACTTCAACTTTAAGTACATTATACATTTACCGTTTACCCACATTTGTACAGATTTTTATATTAACTGAATTAATCCATCCTGGTACTCGAAAACTTTGACAACTGCTACCTGACTTGAGCACGGTTGCTAATTAATGCTATCTATAACTTTCCTTGGCTAATAACCTTCAAACAAAAAAGACGATAGTTTGAATAAATAAATAAACATAAAGCGCTATCTTCCAACAAAATGTTTAATACTTAAAACGCCGCTGCCCACACTTCGTATCGCCATTAATCCTTTAAACCAAGTGTTGACAATCTCCTTTCCAGTCGTCGTCGTCTCTGTCTCGTCTGGTGGTTTCTTCGCAGACAGGCCTCTGTTTGTGGGCGTGGGAAACATGCGCGCGTTCTGATTGGTCAATAGTGTCAACAGTATCTGTTGAGTTGGTGCTCTCACTATAATTATTATTATTATTATTATGAATGTTTACGCCTGTATTTATGTTGAGAAGACTGTTTTATTTACATTTGGATAACTTTGTTTTCTTTTCCTGTTTACCAATGGGCGTGGTTAATAAATTGTCCAGCGCCACAGCTGACGCCGGTTGCGCGTAATGGAATGAATGGAATGCAGTGTGTCCCGAGTTCTATTTCCTCCATATATTTCGGATACATTGTCTCTTTATCTGGGTTCACAACGCGAATCTGCTGCTGGATTACCTCTGCCAACAGGTTATGGGCCCAGAGTAACCCAGAGTAACCCAGAGTAACCCAGAGTGACTCAGAATAACCATGAGTAAACGGGTCGGAGATCCAAGCCGCTGGTCTCGCCTGTTGTTTGATGGAGATGAGAAACATTATGAACTGTGGGAGACAAAGTTCTTGGGCCACCTCCGTTTGCAAGGCCTGAAAGACATTATTCTAAATGTACCCGATGCGGGAGACGCAGAGGAGCAACAGGACGCCAAAAATGCAGAGGCTTACGCAGAACTCATTCAATTCCTGGATGATAAAAGGATGCGGGTTTGTGCAGCGGAAGATAACGTGATGAAAGCGCGTGTGCAGCAGAGATGGAGACCTGCTGTTACGGGTGACCGAGGAGCGGACCGAGGAGCGGACCGAGGAGCGGACCGAGGAGCGGACAGGACAGCGACGGATTTAACGTGCTTCAAATGTGGATTGAAGGGACACTTGGCCAGAGCCTGTCAGCGCAGACTGTGGTGCAGTCACTGCTTGTGCTTCACAGCTAGAAGGTCCCGGGTTCGATTCCCACCTGGACGGGGCCTTTCTGTGTGGAGTTTGCATGTTCTCCCTGTGTCTGCGTAGGTTTCCTCCGGGTACTCCGGTTTCCCCTACCACCAAAAACATGTACAATAGGCCGGGATGAATGATATGAGTGAGTGGTTGGTGGTGGTCGGAGGGGCCGATGGCGCAGATTGGCTGCCTCGCTTCAGTCAGTCTACCCCAGGGCAGCTGTGGCTACAATAGTAGCTTACCACCACCAAGTATGGAGTGAATGAATAGTGCAATGTAAAGCGTCTTTGAGTGTCCAGAAAGCGCTATATAAAACTGATGCATTATTATAGAAAAAGTTTCTATAATAATTTATAATAATAATTTATAATAATCTATAAAAATATTTTGCGTGATATAAAGTTGAGCTGATTTGCGTGAGGCTGCGGTCATGAAAATGTGTAGTTTGTGCCGTTGTTTTGACAGAGAAATGAAAAGGAGGCGCTGCTGTGTTTTTCTGCCTTTATTTAACTCTGTCATTGGCT